CTTTTTTTTTTTCTCAAAAGAACATCAGTGCTGGCAGTTTTCCAGCCACAAAATTATGAGAGATGGGGCTAATCCTATTTGAATCACGATGAGGAATCAATCAAAATATATAATGATTATGAAGATTCTTTGAACACTATGAGTGCTATAGAAGTTAAAGTATTTTTTAATATACCGACTCTTGGCTCCTTTATTTATTTAAAGGGTTACACAGCCTTTATTTAATATCTCCATATTGTGATCTCTCAGCCACCTGAGATTAAATAAACCCTGCAACAGAGCTGAATCTCCAGTCTCCCTCTGCCTCTCTCTACTTAGGTGCTGTTCTGGAACTAGGCCCAGTGGTGATGTGCAGGAATTCAGCCCTTTGTGTTTGTTTTTGGTTTTTGACCTGACAGCCTTGGTCACTGATTGGCTTCCTTTTTCTAGATGAATGTCTTCTATTCCTTTACAATAGAGTGACAAAAATTAGACAAAAATGTCAAAATGAGAAACCCAGAAAAGTTGCTATGGTTCCTGAATCAGTTTTTTAAAAAAAAAAATCCTTCTAATCACTCAGAGCTCTGAACATAATTGACTGGTTCTCAGAAGTACAATAAAAGGAAACCAGAAGTATTTTAGTCCCTGGTTGTTTATGAATCAACCCGATTTTCTTCTTCAGACTTTTAAGGTCACAGAATCAAATCGTGTGGAGCCTCAAAAGGGAGATTCCCTTCCCATTAGTCTTCCTGTCCACCCTTTCTCCCTAGGACTCTGTTAGAACTAGGGTTTCACTAGATTTAAGCACAACATTGTTCAGAATTTCCAGGGGTTCCCAGTCAGAGCAAGTCACAATGAAAGCTGCCATGGAAATTACTGGAAAGGAAGAAAAGTGGCAATAAAACCAATCTCTGGATACCTTTAGTGTACAGCAATGCTGTTTCTCTCCTAGTACACAGGTTCAGGAATTCTGTAAGTCTCAGTGGGAACCCAAGGAAGAGCAGCCTATGCTCATCTCTCCAAGTAAGCCAGGATATTTCACATCTGGAATAAAGCCAATAAGGCATGGTACCATGGGGCATGGGATTGGATTTATGTAGGAAGTGGATTTTTACGGCTGAGTCTTAGACACACGCAGGAAGGTGAAAGAAAACATAATGACATTTATTATTTTATAGAGCTCTAAAGGACCTCAGTGTCCTCACTATAATGTGACCGTTAGAGAACACAGCAAAAATGTTGGCATATTGCTTGGCACTGAGAGGTGCATGGATAATGTAAAATTTCTTTCTTGTTTCTTTTCCTTTTTATTTTTACTATATAACATTATCAAATAGTATAATTTTGATTTTACTTTGCAGATTAGTCAGTGATATATCTGTTGTTGTTTCTTAACATAAACAATTTCATACTGCTTTTATATATATATATTATATGTATTATATATGTATTAACGAATAGCAAAGAAATACTTTTCTAATCAACAAGCTTGATATATAATTCCAGAAACTTCCCATCAATGCTTCTTACATCCAACTGGTACACCTAAGCTTAAGTTAAAAAGTAATATCCAAAATAAGAATAAAGATGTATCAATTGCCAACTACGTGCACAGCATAGTACTGTGTGCTGTATATTAGATATTCCATTTAGCCCTCAAAACAACCCTAAATGTATGAATATTTCCTGTCTCCATAAAAAAAGTAAGCTCAAAGAGCTCTTACCCATCTCACAGTTAGTAAGCTGCTGCTGAAGCGGAGCTTACTCTAACCCTAAAGTCTGAGTTCTTTGCACCTCAGCATAATGCCAAGGTGGTACTGGAAGTCCAGAAAGCTAAAACAGAAGAGCTTCTCACTGCCTTACACAACTGGGTCTCCTCAAGAGTGTCTGAAGAAGGAGACCAATTCCACCAAATTAGACAGGTCTAGAATGTGGAGTGAAGGTATCCTTTCCCCGCTACCCTCATCAACTGTATCTTGGATTTTTCCAGGGATCGAGGAGGCTTCCAGTAATAGAAATTAAAGTGAGCCCTTGCAAGTGGTTCTGATGTTTGCAGGAGTTTGTTTTTTTTGTTTTTTGTTTTGATTTTTTGTTTTTTGAGAACAAAATGGGGAGGGCAGAGCAGGGTAGCAGAAGTCAGATTACAGGAGAGTGTCCTCAAATTTTTCTAAGAGAGGATTCAGCATAAGGAAAGGATTCAGCAAATGTCAGATATGGTGAATCTGATTCAGTAATAAGGTAGATTAAGCTGTGGTTGAAGAAAAGGTACAGTTCTAAGAATGGCCAGCTTGGTTTTTCTTGAACCTGTCCCTATCTTACCACTCTGGAGGGCTCTGCACATCCTGGAGTGGGAAGGGCTATCTGTGTAAAAGAAGGTATTGTTCCATGAGCCAGCTTTCCAGCATCTCTGAAGCCAGGTTGCCCTGCCATGCAGCCCTCTCACAGTGGGAACTTGCCGTGTAGGTGGAAGAGTACTCTTTTCATTTTGCTGCTAACCACCGAGTAGCCAAGTGCCAGGAAGATTGACACCAGTACTTAAAGAGTTGATCCTCAGTCAAGGGAGGCAGAGGTCAACAGGAGTGTGCAGTGACCATGGACGTGTGGCATAGGGTAGCAAAGTCAAAAGTAAAGAGAGGCCTGGATCTCCATATCGGGCTGCAGGAGTGGTAGTCAAGATTCACTCTAGACTGATTCACAAGAATGTCGGAAACATCTCTAGGGACTTCGTGAAATTACTAGGGCTGATTGGAGAAAAAGATCTGAAAAAGGATTGGGTTCCTTCTGTGCGAGTAGGGGCCATAAGTCCATGAGAGTTAGCCTTGAATATTACTGTCTAGACAGCAGAAACCTGGAATTACTCAAGGTATATGAGCAATGAAAATCTACAATACCAGGTCTGGCATATAGTGAATATGTCTTGTGGGCTCACATCACCTTAGCCAGATAAGCTGGGCAAAAATCTCCAATGGCCATGCACACCTCCTAGTGCCAACAATGCAGATCGCTTCTGACCCTGGTTTGACTATTTCTCAAATGGAGGACAACAGAGAGATGCTCAAGTTGGCTGTCATGTTGTGTGGCGTCTGTGCATAGTTGCCACTTAAATGTACTGTGAAATCAGGCTTGATAATTGTACATAGAGCAGCTCATCCTGACCATGCTCTCTTTAAATTTGACCAGATAGCCAGAGGCAAAGTCTTGGAGGTGAGTAGTATGGGTGTGTACCTACGAGTTCTGGTGTGAGGTTTAGTGAGAAGGAACACTAGTGTACGCACGGTGGGACATACAGTTCCTAAGGTAAGTATTAAGGTGTGAATCAGCCTTGATGGCAGCCCTGCGAGATGTATAGTGAGCATAACTTTCCAGGCTTCCTCAGTTTTTCACCGGCCATGGCCTTGGCTTCTTGTCCTTCAAACTCTGCCTGCCAAGAGTAAAGTCCCAGCAAGTAGTGGGAAGGCCCAGGTCAGGTTACCAAACCTTTTATACACCCTCAGGACTCTGACTCCAGCAAAATGACATCTGGGCTCTTAACTTTTATTGGTACATGGACCCCCTTGGAAATCTGGTAAAATCTATGGATTATTTTTCAGAATAATGTTTTTAAATGCATAAAATAATGTGCTTAGCATTACAAAGGAAATACAGTGTGAAATAGTTGCAGGGACTTCAAAAAATAATTAGGGCTATGTGGAGATAAAGATCTTAAAGGGGGGTGGGTTCCTTCTATGTAAGTAGGGGCTTACAAAATCAAAATATAAAAGATATGTGCTTCCTTAATAATGCAATAAATAACAAGACTTAGCAGTGGGCGTAATAATTACCATAATTCTAAGTAGTGATTGTCATGAATTGTATTTTAAAATATCTGCTACAACTGCAATGTGATTTGAAAATCTTGTGGTTTTTATTGGTGACAAAAATCACACATACTGTAATAGTGGTGTAGCATGCTGCCACATTGATAATTGAAAGAAATGATAAATTTTAATTAAAGGTAATGAAAGTAAAGATGAAAATTTCCCCCATCCTATCTTAATGGACCCCCTAAATTCTGTGTATGGACCTCAGATTAAGACTTCCTGTCTTATATGTTTGTGGAAAATGCATTTAAGAAGTCACATGCCTGGTTCTAGGTACTTTTTCTTACCTTAACACCAGTACCACTGAGCTGCAGTGTCCCCAGTTATGTAATAATGATGAGGCAATACCTGGACCAATTGCAAGAGCCAGTCTGTGGGCATGCGAAATGAACTATCTCTAAAACCTTGGAGGATTAAGCAGGCCCAGACACCAGTGCCAGGCACGAACTGTGTCATTTATGGCAACAGTCCCCAACTTTTTTTAGTATCAGGGACCGGTGCTCCTATGAGA